TGGGTTACGGAGTTTTTGAAGTTTTTCTCCTTTTGAGTTGTCCTTTGCTTCACTACTCATCTTTGACCTTACCGGCATGGGTGACCCTACTGGGAGCGTTGTGCTCCCGCCGGCATTGCTCTAGGAATCATTGCAGTTACTTCACCGGGGCAAGGTCCCACAACTTCTGGAAGGGGAGGAGATGTTATTATTTATTAAATCATATATAAATGTGACCGTAATGAGTAGTCTACGTGTATTCAGTAATATAATATTAAATTGGTTCAAAATGATGGAGTAGTCAATTTCCCTTTGGGGGTAAATACCTGTAGTGCGAAAAGACAAGAATTTCAAGAACTTTCTTTGGACAGCTTCAATTTGCTGTATGTGAGAATTATAATTGGGATACCAGATCATCGCCCCATATTATAGTTTGGAACTCACATAAGCATAGAATAGCGTGATTATCAGCTTTGTATCTCTAAATTCTCTGGTGTTCCTCATTATGAAGCCCAACATTCGACTAGCGGACGAAACAGCTTGGTCTCTATGTGAAACAAAAGTGAATTTATGATAAAAATTATTGACAAGGTCTTTCAATTCATTTACACGACTTATGGTATTGTTATCAATTTCGTAAATGAATTGTATTAGACTTTCATTTCTGAAAAAAGTCAATACATGACATTTAGCAATGTTAAGATTTAAACGATTATTAGAACACCAATCATATATCAGATGTGATTCATACTTTAAGTCTAGCAGTCTCCATAATTTTCTATCACCTTGAATATTTCAAGGTCATCAGCGTAGGTCAGTTTTGAATTGTTTATTATTTTAGTTGAATCATTAATGAAAATCAAGAACAAAAGAGGTCCTAAATTCGAGCCTTGGGGCACTCTGGAACTGGGAGTACATAAAGCAGATTTAAAGCCTTCATATTCTGCATACTGTTTTCTATCGAGTAGGTAGTTTGACATGAGTTTCACCAATTTTACTGAAAAACCAAATTCCGATAGACGCTTGAGAAGAAGAAGAAATCTATTTGAATAAAAGTTTTTTGCATGTCTGTATAAATAACGTCAACCTGCAGTTTTCTATCCAAGGCTTCCGAGACACATTGTGAAAGACATGCAAGATTGGTTATGCACGACTTGTTTTCTACAAACCCATGCTGATCATCTGATATGATATTTCGTATTGGACTGTAAATATTAGAGTATAATATTATTTCAAATGATTTGGGGAAATTGCTCAGTATTGAAATGGCTCTATAGTTTTTTATTTATGTAATATCACCCTTTTTAAAAATTGGGCATATTCGAGCTTTTTTCCAAAGGTCAGGGAACTCAGAAGTTTTCAAACAAAGTTTATATATATGTTACCGGCCAAACCCGATTTTAGGCCAAACTAGTTTTACCTAGGCTAAACTACTTTATTCTATATGCGATCGGATAAACCGGTACAGACTAGGCGAAACGGGTCTGTCCTAAGGATGATAGGAGAAACTAGTTTAACCTAGGAGGAACTGGTTGGGCCTAATATGAATATGTACACTTCAAGATAAACTAGTTTGTCCTAGGATGAACTGGTTGGGCCTTATATGAATAGGTACACTTCAGGATAAACTATTAATTGAATGCCACATGAACATTAACGCCTCTAATACAAAATACCCGTTTCCGAAATGGAGGGAGGAGTGTCGGATTGAAAGATCAAAGATACCGCCTGTGAATATTTGGAAGGTATGAAACTGATTTCCTCATTATCTGTGCTTATATGATCTTTGAAATATGAAATTACTTCAACGGCTCCATAACAAATTTCTGTTAATGAGTCGTTCTGATTGCTGTACTACGGTTGGAACAAAAAATTATTGTAAACAAAACACATGCTTGAAGGAAACTGATAAATTCACCTGGTTCAGATATGCCAACTTAATAACTCGGACAGGGATGAAAAAGATGAATTGTTCAAATTGAAATAGAAATATTTTTTTGAAATTGCACCAGGAAATATTGTCAACCACCTTCAAACAAAATCCTAACAAGGTTGGAATAGAATTTGTTTCTCCAGACTGGAAATAACCATTCTTTGTTTCTACTGTAGTAGGTATATTAATAAATTTTTCGTATTATTTTTGATTCATTCTAAATCACGCATTAATACGGCATCGGGCCATCTTTAAAATATGATTGGGGGTCTAAATTTGATTCAGACATTGATCGACTGATTTTTATTTTCAGTCGAATTATTTGTATATTCATTTCGGGTAATCGCTAGCACCTGAAGATGTATCTGTAACGAAACGTGCTAAATTAAAAATGAAATGATAACAACAAAAAAAATTATCAGGTAACTATCGAATCGCCGGTTATTTTTTCGAGTTCCGAGTCTTAACTCGAAAGTGTAATGCTCGACAACTGATCAACATATTTATATGTAACCTAGAACAAATTTCAACTTGAAGAGGAAAACGATACAAAAAATTCACTCACGACTTTTACAACTCTTCAAATTGCGGTTAACTTTTGTTTTTGGATTAATGAACCAATAAAAACTGGGAATGTTGATTAAATGAGTCTTGTGAAATTAATTTCAGAATAATTATCGAAACGCATAAATTTTTATGGGATTATAAACGAGCACTTTTCAATTATTTTGTGGCCTCGTATATCAATGTTGATAGTTTCGGAAGCTTGTGATGGATATTAAATGTTCTTCAATTTTATGAGGTTCAAATATAAAGTAGAATTCAAAAAAGTATGCGACTGAAAAGGTTTACGAGTGTTTCAACCACCGACTAAATTCATACTCTAAGTGAATTATTCCATCACACTATGGAAAGACTCCTGATAAAATTCATTCTGAAATGAAATCATTATTCATTTTTGAAATAGACGTTTCGATTCTTTATACAATTGATATTCTTATATACATAAGACAATGTCAAAAGTTATTTACGATGTTGAGTATTCATTGCTCGATAAAATGTACATAACTACTTGATACACATTTAATGATTATTCAGTGCGTTAGTGTTATCCAGATGTTATTTTGAAAACGTTTTCAAAAATGAAGTATTGAGTCTCAACCGAGTTCATTATTTCATTTCATATATGTAAATATAATATTATCAAAATCCCTATATTCCTTGATATTATACCGTAATGTACGATATTTTATGATTTTTAAACAGATAATTTCTCATTTTGGACTTCCAGAAATGAAAGTTTAAGTGATCTTCTGATGATGCTAACTCAATTAGCAAAACGCGCGTCGAAAGCTTTTCGCCAGAGTTTCCAATTATTTTGTTTCTTATAATCGTTCTCTAGGTTCACTATAATTTGACAATTACCGAATGACTGAAATAAGAGCATTCAAAAGATTGAATTATCGTTTGTATTGAGTCATAAAAGTGATTTAAGAAAGTGAAAAAATTGGTAATACTCATTTATTTATCAAAGGGTGAAATTTACCCATGGACGATTTGTTGCTTTCTGGGAAAGTGTTACTTACCTATATGTTATTGAATGTCGAAAATTGGTAGTTGGTTGTTTCAGATGAGCTATTTCTACTGATTTGTATCTGCGAATAAATCCAAGAATGAACTGTACATTTTCATGAACAGATTCCTTTGATATCGGGTTGATCTTTTATTCATTTCAAAATTTTTTATGATTTTTTCTGGAATAAACGAAAAATTATTAACTTCATGACCTTCATTTTCACTTTGAGGAAATTACTAAGTGATTGTAATGTGCAATTTAGTGTGCAACCAAATCAACATTGATATCAAAAACTTTTCCAAACATTTCCCTAGCATCAAAACGACTGAATAAAACTCTAGAATACCATTTTAAACATGGATTCAAACTATCAGAGTAGGTAAATACGATATATCCGATAACTAGTGAGTATTCCACTGTATGGATTCATACTCTGTAAACCAATATTCCTATTCGAAAATTTCCAATATTTTTCTTTTTCATCGTCGTTCCAATACAAGAGTGAACATATGGATGAATCGTTTAGAGAAGTAACCCCTCACGAACTGGTTGTTTTATGCAGGACTGGTTTTTTATAACTGGGGCTGAAGTTAGTTCTGCATTCATTTCATGTAGGTACACAGTTTGAATTAATCAATATTTTATAAATGTACCGTTAGTTTTGGAAGTCATTAAGTATACCTATTTTCTAAAAGAAAAGTTCTTGGCAATATCAATATTGAAGAGATTTATAGAAAAAAATACATTTCTGAAAGCGATGAAACGACAACGAGTGAACAAAGTGACATACTGAGAAATATAGTAATGATTTTAATACAACTGTCAAGGTAATGACAGTTGTGAAATGAAATGAATAATGTCTAAATGTTCAATTACTAGGCAATTTTGAGTAGAAATTCTAAACATGGTATTCACCTGACTTTTTTTATATTTCTGGTTTTCATATTGATTGTCATTTTGAATGACCTCAATGTGCATTTACTTATTCATGTCATTGTCATTGTAAGACATATTCTGAATGCAATATGCAATTGTGGTTTAGAAATATATACTTCAGACATATTGTTCTCAATTCAACATTGTTCTGATTTAGCATTATTTTTCAGAAAATTTTTAATTTTCCCATTGCCCCTTATGTAATTATAGCATATCTCACAAAATAGGTAACTTTTGAAATTAATTGAATGCCACATGAACATTAACGCCTCTCAATATCAACAATTCAAACCCTTACTCATTCACAAGTGTCATAAACAGGCAAGCATATTTATGCCTAGGCGCTAACTCTTACATGTGTTTCAATATTTTGCAGCTGGCGATGCCGACAGAAATACAAACTGCATGGGTAGGTACTGTCGTTTGCCTCCTTGGCTTGGGTCCCACGCAGCTTCCGGGCTCGCCAGCTCGTCGAGAAAACAATAAGAGAGGGAATCTAGACGAAGTTGTCGGAGGTGCTCGGCCACCTTTGCCATGCGTCTCACGTCTCACGGCACGCGTACAACCCCCAAAGAGCGCGCGCATTATGTTCACCCGAAGTGGGGAGAAACCATCGGATAGAAAACCGTAAGCTAGCAACGGAAAGAATCATTCCGTTTGCCGCTCGGAAAGTTGTGTGTATCAATCAGTTCTTCAGTACTTCAATATTACGCGCTTATTTTGATCAACTGCTAGGGAAAGTTTTTTATAGTTGATATTGAGTTGTTTTTTATTTTGTGCTTCTGTTTATTCCTCATGGCACTTACGATGACCCTTGGACACCAGAACAAGATGTACAACGTTATTCAACATTCCGCACCGCAAAATAATTGTGTTATAGTTTCGCAGCCCGCAACAAAGAGTGTGATTACTAGTAAACGACCCTTGGCCCCGGCTCCAGAGAGAAGTTCGGTTTTGGTTGCGAATAACAATGACTTACGCTGCAAAAGAAAAATTCAGTTCATGCCTTATGGAACGCCTCCTCAACAACCTGCATCAGTTGCGAGAAGAAATGCACGTGAGAGAAACCGTGTTAAGCAAGTCAACAATGGATTTGCCACTCTTCGTTCACACATACCCCCGAGTGTTGCTCAAGCTTTGACGCCACAGTCGACCTCACAGGGAAGAGGTGCTTCCAAAAAACTAAGTAAAGTGGAAACATTGAGATTAGCGGTTGAATATATCAGGTCACTTCAACAGATGATTGAGGATCATGAAAATGAGATGACGAATAATGGATCTATCGGTAGCGACAATCATTCCATAACTGAAAATAGATATTATACCAGTAGTCCCAACTCCAGCCAAATTTACTCAACGTCTTACCCTGTGTTATTACCTACCCCAACGTGTTCTGAAGCCTCTCCGTCTCCAACACCATCACACAGTTCTGAAGGTTCCTTTTCGACAACTCAAAGTTATTCGAATGCACTTTATCACCACACTGAAAATTACGAGAATTACGACCCGAAAAGTCCAGAAGACGAAGAACTTCTTGATGCTATTTTCTCGTGGCAGCAAGAATAACGCATATTTTAAAGGTTAGTATCAAAATTTTCAATTTTGTTCTTATTGAAAAATTTGAATCTTAATTTTCATTAATTTTCATTGGATGAATGAACTTGACGTTTATTTATGAATTGCTCATGAAATATTCCTTTTTTTTTTCGGCAGTAATAATAATAAAGATTCATGAAAAAAATGAAAGCTAGGAAATTTTCTCTTGCTAAAGTAGAATAAAATTCCCTAATTTAAAATATTAGTAGCACCAATTAATTTTTTTTTTGTTTTATAATTTCATGATTTGTATTTTGGAAGTGTTATTACATCATTGTTAGTAGAGTGAAATATAATTATTGTCAATAATCCTGTCCAAAATTCACTCTAAGTTAGGTACCTTCTTGTTTTCAATTTACGACTAGGTACATTATTTTGTTTGTTGATTCCATTTTCCATGGATTATAATTTTCAGTGTGCTAATCTATTGTTCTACGTCATACTTGCATATCTATCAGAAGTTTTTTCATTTTCAAATCAAGTATATTTTTTGTTGGAAAACTCAATTTTTGCAAGCAAGACTAATCACATAGAATAAAAAATATCGAAAATCAAATAGAAATTCAGATACCCTCCACCAATAAAATCCCAACTGTGACTTTATTATTTATAACCTCACACACGAATTTCATCCTCTACATATTCGCTTGTACATAATGTTTTATACCTGTTTTGAATCTATATCTACCTGAATCATGAAGTGAAGTCGTTCATTCCCCTTCGATTTAGTATGCCCATTTCCTACCCCACGGTAAAATACCGTTTGTGTGCCTTGAACCTTTTCATTCGTCTTGACAGGGGTCTTTAATACATACCAGTTTCTTTAAGAAATAAGACCTTATACAAAAATCCCACGAACAATAGTGTCTGAGAAACTTATTGAAAAAATAAGCGCGAAATTGTCGGTTTCCATTCGTATGGGACTATTGTATTATAAATCGTAATTGTATTTATCATAATTGTTAAATGTTTTATTTTTTATTACAGATTTTCCAAGGCCAGTGGATGAATCTAATCAAAAATTGCCTTACAACAAGAAACTATGTGCCTTTTCATTCCATGGAGTGATATTTTCCACTTTTTAAAGAATCTCAAGAGTTTATCAGTTGTTTTTCTAGTCATTGTTTATATTTATAAGACTGTACATATTGTTAATATTATAGTTTTTAAGGACCTATTAGGATTATTTTGTTGAACATTGTCCAATAAATCGTTATGCAATATACTCGGAAAATTCTGGTATTTTGCTGTATTCATGCTCTCTACATAAATGTTGCTATTCAAATGAATTGGAATAAAATTATTTTGAAATTGTCGTTATTGCGTTAAGTGCTAGTTATTGTAAGTACTTTCCGAAGCCAGTGCGTTATACTTTCCATAAGTTTTGTATATACATATATATTATTTTTGATAAATGAAAATGCATTTTGCAACTTTTGTACTGATTCAATAAAATGATAATTTTAAATGTGTTGCTTTTCTTCACAAAATATAAAAATGTCGCACTGATAGTAAAGTCACCATAAAATCAAAATGTATATCGGCAGCTGGAACTCGAATGACGTTAACAGAAAAGGTAGTAAATTTCCAAATAGACAAGCTGTTTTCAGAGTTCTTGGCGCGTGCTATAAAAACACCTGCCTGAAACACATGTCAGTATGTTGTATGGTAATGTGAGGATAAAGATACCAAAGGCACATGTATCGATAGATATCTATTAAAAGCAGAAATCTAATTTGAATTCTCAACTATTTTTTATTAAAAAAAGTTATTTTGTATTCACCAGCATTTGCTATTTTTATATATTGCATAGAAAGTTTGTTTATCCTATTTACTTCAAAAGGTCAAATAATTATTGAAAAAAATTTGTTGAAAATGGTCTCCAACCTAGAAGGCCCAGTGTAGTTTTCAACTGGGCATCTTTTATGTTCTCATTTTTACAAGGTATTTCAAATGAGTTGAATCTAAATTGAAATATTAAAAAAGGATTTATCAGTTTGTGATGATGAAATTCAAAAACTACTTAGGAAATTTCAAAAAAATATTCACCTAATTTAGTTTATTATTTTTATACCAGCATAAGTTGCCGATTTTTTCAAATGCGGATGTTCCTCTGCATGGGTTCTTTTTAATAAATTAGTAGCATTTTTAGTGCAAAATGGATTTTCTTCAATTCATTTTCATGTTTTTTTTACCATGCAAGCAACATTTATTTATGTAGATGCAGCAAACTGTCAAAATCTTTTTACACTTCCTTGCAAGAATCACGTGGTTTCATGTTGAACATCAGTTTATCAATTTGTTTTGGAGTAATAAATATCATATTTATTTTCGAAGCATTTTCCCAAAACATTATGTGAAATGACATTGCAGAATATACTAATGCAAAGTAGGATTTGGAGAGTTATTTTGATGAACTTTCAAAATGCTCAGACCATGGGAGTGATTCATCATTACACCTAGAAACTTTGTGCATTAGTGTCTGAAGGACTTCAGTATCAGATTGTTCTTATTGTAATATATAATGTTTTTTCAATCTGAAAAATTAAAAATTAGGACGCTATAATGTGACAGCACTGTTTCAACACGGCAATGTTTCATCAGTAGTGCTTAGGCCAAACATTAACATCCTATAGAATTATTCTTAGTTGCCTGCTGATAATGCTAATTTGGTTAGCGAAATGCGCGTCAAGAGAAAGTATTTTTAATCTGGTGGGAAAATAGTATTTTCAGTAGAGATATCGATGTGATCGATAGAAGACTAAATCCACTGATATCAAAGATGAACCAGGCGCTCCAAAGCTATTTTTTGCATAAACAAGCTTCAACATTAACGACAGAACAAAATTCGTTTTCTATCTTCCACTACAGCTTTCACCACAAGGCAACTGAATGGAAACAGAGCCCAAAACGAAAGCATCTGGTTTCATCAAGTTGCCTCCCAGTGAAAGATGGAGGATTCTTGTTCGGCGGTCGATGCTTGAATTTGCAACATACCACCTTGGAGAGCTTCATTTATCTTTGATATTCGTGGATTGTCTTCTGTGGATCCCATAGGAGATGTCTTCATGAGGAGAGGAGTTTTTCGCCAAACCAAGAAAAAACTGATCAAAACATATGACGAACACAAAAAGGCATACATAAACCCAATAATATATAAATCAAACCTCACAACACACGCCATACAAAACAAACATAACTTTCCCCCACCAGAGAACATAAAACTCATAAAAACAAGTCAATAAAAGAAACCGCATGGACATCTTGGAAAACTTAAACATCCATAAATTCAACAGTCATAATTGACTTATCGAGAAACAAATATAAATCAAAACACAACAAGACCTAACATTCAATATACTACACAAAACAATACACATTCCTAGAAACAGTGAACCTAGACCAACACAAAGGATATCACCTGATGTAACCCAAATACAGGCAAATTTACCTACATTACCTAAAGTACCTGCACTGAGATGTTCTGACCCCATGAAAGAACAAACAAGAGGATGAAACGTTCAGTTTGAGTAGAGCCTTGAAGATGACAGCACAGCCAGCTATCAAAAGCACTCGCATATAAGAACATAATTGAAAACAATGAAATAACAAACAATTTGAAAATGAAAAATCATTTTATACGGGGAGGAATATGCAATAACAATTTTATATGAGGATTCATAGAGATGAATAAACATCAAGATACAAGGCGGCAAAAAACAACTCACATGCATGAAATATTTTCAAAATGAAGGAAATGTGTTTATATGTCAATTCAACCAAGTTAGTATCATCATCATCTTGTGGACCAAGAAGATAACATGTAGATCAACATAACAGAAACATTTATATAGGGTGTCGTTTGAGAAAGAAAAGAAAGGTATCTAGCGTTTACACGTGCGATACCCTTCGTTTACAATGTGGCATATTTGAAGCGCACTATCTTTTTGTAATTTATAGTGTTTTGGTAGCCAAATTGGCTCAACTTTCCAGGATGGAATGTGCAGCTCTAGTACATTCGGTATATTCAATAGATTCCAGTTTTTTTGTTGATATTGAGGTCGCCTGATGTTCGAAGTGAAAGATTCATAGCTCGATGAACTCTGAATCCTTTCCATCTGAGAGCATCTGTGAATCAGCTATACATGACTATTCATCAGATTCAACCATGTGAGGAGAGGACATTTTCGCCTCCGATTCATATGAATCATCGTTTGCAGAACACAGGGAAAGTTTGTTTTCTCTCTTGATAGAAATTCTGCTTCTGCTTTGATGCAGAGTTTTGGAGAACTATAAGCTCTTGCTTTCGAACACATGTTACAGGGATATCACTTGAGGTCGTTTACTCGATGTTCATCTACTGTGTTTACTGAGGTTCGGATTATTTGGTTACTTTTGTCTTCATTAAGGGTTCCACGAGTAGCTGGGAAAATAAGGTTCATCATAGCTGGGCCCTGCTACTGTAACATGTTTCTCCGATGGAAGAGTTCCTGTGCCTCAAATATTCGTCAGTGACCCTAAAGGGCTCAAAGTTATACATTCTGGCCCGAAAATACACCCTTTCGTAGAAAACCATGACATTTGATTAATAACAAACAGCACCAAAAGTGATACATATTGAAGAAGCAGATATCCGATATCTGCATTTTCTCATCACCCCACAACCCAAACTAACACACAGGCAAGAAGGAAGCACCAAGCGGTAGTTCACGTAGTGAGACAATTAATAAAGACAGCTCATGAGAGTTGATACAGAAATATTATTTTCAGTCAACGTTTATCAGTAAAATTTTTTACCCAATCCATACTTAAATCGAGAGGTTAAATAGTCTGGTAAGGCATTTCATATCGAATACTCAAAGGTTAATCGACTGTAAAATCGAATGAATACTTTCATATTATGAACACAAAAAGTATCAATTTCATTATTGTTCAACACTTTTATTTTGTTTTCGTTAAGAATTAATTTAACCGAACCACTGTTAAACTGAGCATGGGATCGAGTCAGAGTTTGGTTGACTACCACGTAAGGAATGTTAGAAGTATTTTTGGAAACCTATTTTCATAGAATGAAATTAGAAAGCCCAAATTATGAGATTATATAGCTCCATCAAAATGTATTAACTTTGTCACCAAATTAAAAATTTCCGCATCTCCCAAAAATGGTAATTTAGTATCTATAGATCTTTTTTGAACAAAGCAAGATGAAATTAATCCATAACAACTCATTCGCCGTTTTATTTTCTCAAGTATAATTGAAATTATTTCCATAATAATCGCCCGTTCAATTAAATCAAGGAATTAGGCTAATCGGATGATCATTTAGAAAATTTGTACTTTGCTTACATTTTACAGAAAACATGAGAGAAAAAGAGTGAGTCTCAGTCGTTTCTACTGATCTACCCGACAGTAATAATGACATAATTCTCCGACGTTAGCCGGTTGGTATTGTTAGCTTTAGCTAGCCATTATTCAGCAAGTTATATGAAATGATATTTCCAATACACCACAACCGTCCTGGACCCGAACAGGCTTTCAGTTTTTGGTTTCACTCTAGCCAGCTGACTTAGTGATCGGCTTCGTTATGAAGCTGTATTTATTTGGTTGAGTTTGAGATGTGAGCCGCAATTAACCTTCGAAAGTTGCAGTGAAGGGTACAATAGATCCACTTACTGTGGACCTTCCTACCTAACAGCTATTGAAAATACTGTATTAATTCTTATTATTTTTCTAGAATTATATTATTACTTTAGTGTCCGACAGAAACTGGTTTTTACGACCGAAACCGAAACCGAATTTCGACAACGGTCTCAGTTTCGGCCGAAACCGAAACGTCCTTACAAGGATTATGTTTTGAGGGAAAAATAAAGAAAACGTTATTATAATCAGTCAGTCTTTATTTTTTTATCTTGAAATCACAACGTTATGCAGTCTTTGACATTTTCACTTATTGATAATCGACAATTCAACATAACAACCCCTTATTTAAGAAAAAATATCAATTGCACCTTAAAAATATTCAAAATAGGTGAGGTGTTTATTTGAGTAGGTGTAGATTCTTTTTTTGAATATTATTAATGGTTTTTCAAAAATATTAAACATAAAATTACTTATTCAAGTTGTTACCTAATATCACAATAGGTAATTAACATTTATGTAATTGTACAGATGATCGATTTCTAAATCAAGCCATTTTTCTTTGGCGAATTTTTGGACTTCATCAGCAACTGAAGACTTAATAGGAATATTTACGGTAATAAAATTTGGAAAAATTGAATATCTTTTACAGCTCTTTAGAAACCAAATATCTGCTTGTATTAGCCTAATTAGCCTAAATATCCTAGGCTAATTAGCCTATTTAGATTTTTTTTTTCTCTAATATACTGGTTTGGCAAGTCAGTTTCAGTTGCAAACCAAAATGTGCGAAATATTGTACTTCCGCTAGCTCAGATGGATGTGTGGACACAG